TACATCAGTGTAGCTGCTCAGCACAGCACAGCACCGCCTCATCACGGCTTTGTCTCGCCATCGCACCACCATCCTACCTGCCCCAAGCCCACCGTGAGCCCCCGTCGAATCCCTCTGCATGCCCTCGTGTCGCACCATGGCCACCGATGTGGTCTTCCAACCTGGGAGACCCAAAGGCTTCGCCTTTGGCTGTCATGCACACCCAAGCATACGCATGCACATACATAGGCCAAGAGCCAGCCTGGCCGAGCAGTTAGAGCTCAGAAACACCAGTGCCTTGCACAAGCACCGCGCGCACTCGCCATGGCCAGAGCACGGCCATGGCAAAGCTGTTTCGCCCGCAACCGGCTAGTAGAGGTAGAACGAGTGCCCCGACGAGCTTTGCCTTACCGAGGGACACGTCACGCACTAGATGGGAGGAGAAGAGAAGCCCTAGATCCACTGGTCACTTTGCGACGCCGATGCGGCCACGCACTCATGCCGCCGCCGTGCCATGGCCATCCCGACCGACTTCGGCCGCCTCGCGACGTGAGACCAGGCTGTCGAGCTTCGCCTTAACCCCGCGCACCTCACCGTGTAGATGGATGAGCGCAAAGCCCATGCCTTGCCCTAGTTCGCCGTGGCTGTGAGCTCACCGGACTTCCACCACGCGCCTTGCCGTGGTGCGGACTCCGTCATGGCTTATGGTCCCCTCCGACAAGTTTTGTGGCCTTCCTATGACCCCAATTAGAGAAAAGGAGCTGACTTTGGGCCCAATTGAGCGCATGGTCGCCTTGCTGCAACCTGCCGTCGCCGCAATGACACCGCCGCCATGGTCGGCCTCGCCCAAGCCCTTTTGCCTCACCTTGATGCCCTTGCCATGTTCGCTGGAGCACCTAGAAGTTGTAGAAGCCCCGCTCGGGCTGTGCCAACGCCTCCGGCGCCCTAGCCATCGAACCGGGCGCCGCCGCCTGCCACGACGCCTATGCCGGGTGCCCGAGCCTCCAAGTCGTCATCCTTGGCCCGTCGTGAAGTTCTCCGTGACCTCATGATGCAGCTACCCCTCTGAGCCGCCATAGCGCGAGAATGGCCAAGCACGCCATCGACGAGAGCACCACCGCGAGAGAGAGGGAGGCAGCCACACCCTTCGCGTGGACCTGCCTGCACCTGGCGCACCATGCGCCAGAGAGAGGAGAGGGAGAGGTGGACGCGGTCCACCGCAGAACGTGCCTGCAGTCCACGAACCCACATGGCGTCGTCCACCATGGACCAGCCCCCGTGGACCAAGCCCAGTAGCGGCCCGCTTGCGCCACATGGCCACCTATGTTCGTGACACATGTCCGGGCCTGGCCCAGCCCATATCCGGCCCATGACCCTACCCATTGGGCCCAGTCAAGCCCAGTCAACGATGACCGTTGACCTGACTCCACCTGTCAGTCACTGTTGATCGCGGACCCCACCTGTTAGTGACTGTATTTCCCACGTCCAATCACTTGCTGACATGTGTCCTTCACCATTCAAAATTCTTATTTTTCTTTTTTAGAAAATAATTTAAAGCTAGAAAATTCATAGGAAATTCATACAACCTTAGAAAAGTATGAAACCAGTGCCCAAATTATTCTAAAAATGAGCTCTACATCATAGTCTTGTGTTTTGAGTGCATTTGGATCTTTTGGATTTATGTTGCTTGTTTGTGATCATCTATAGGAGTCACTTATAGCGACTATATGTCTCGTTTGACAGACCTGGAGGAGCCATAGACTGAGGAGCATGACCCCGACTACATAGAGGAGCTTGGAGATGACCAGCCATGTGCCACGTCCCACCCAACCTCGTAGAATCCTATTAGACATGCTGCAATATAGATGATAGTGCTTTACTTTTATGCAAATGATCTGTGATAGGTTGCATGGTAGAATTTCTTGTGAGCCATTACCTTGTTGTAACCTATACCCTTGCACAGCCGCTGTTAAGTTAGATGATCGCTTACTTACTTGCTACTACTTCTACTATGCATTATATCTGTGATGTGATGCATGGTGGAGGATTGTATGTGAGTGGTTAAGGCACTGGGTGACGGTAATATGGTAACAACCGGGGAGATCTTGGCATGCGTTTTGAGTGTGTGGTGAGGGTTGAGTCAATTGAGCAGGATCTTATGACGAGTCATTGGACGAGTCTTGCTAGGGGGTGTAACCTGGGCATCCCCTATGAGTGGTACCTATGGCGGGTGTATGTGAGATGAGGAGATCTTGGGGTGGAGTGTATTTGTGGGATGAAGCCCCAGGATGGAGGTGCCATCGAGGCATGGGGTGTTGGATATTCCCTTTGAGAAGATATCATGTTCGGTCCCCCTAAGGACTGATATGTCAAGAGAACCAGATCATAGGACCCTACGTACACACAACTCGCTCCTGAATGGGCGGGGGACGGCTACCCGACTAGATAGGACGGTGCCATTACTGCTAGGTTGGAAGTGGATAGTGTAGGGAGGTATGGGCGTATGGCCCACACCCTCCTAAGACAGCGTAGTGACCTTTGGGGGCCCGGTACTATGTCTCACAGTCTCAGCGTGCCGGTGGACTTCGGGGGTGGCCCAGGGCTAAGTGGTAGGGTGGCACCATACTGGTTGGGAGGCAGTCGGTATCAACCTAGGTGGGGCACCACCGATGATGGTGATCTTGTGTTCTAGGTATACACACTCTGTAGAGTTGATCGATCTATACATATAGACACATCCTCAGATATGGACATTCCTATGACCTACGCTTCCCTTGATTAGTGAGTGGAGTCCTTTCTTCTCTCTGCATGTGTTCTTGTGTTAGTTTCTAGCTTTGGCCGATGAGGCAAGGTACGAGCGGGAGTCATCCTTGTCGCCTAGAGAGTGTGAGAGTGGTGAGATGGGTGTAATGGGATGGGAGAACATGTGGATGAGATGGATTAAAACTTAACGAATTATTATTAAAACTTGACATACTCACATAGGAAAACTACAGCCACAAATAGGTCTTTTGCTCTACCCTTGCATTCCACTACCACAAAGCAAACGCAAAAGCATAGGGTGGGAGCCAGTGGCCAGTACAAATCGTACTGATAATTGTTTGACAGGTTCTGAGCCCGAGTACGACTACCAAGGAGACGATTGGGAGGATTAGAGGTCTTGTTCCTACGCTCAAGTTTGGTTGAGAAGATGCAGTCAACGTCCTGCCCTTCTACTTGATGCTGTTCTGGATGTTGCATCCTCTGAGTGATTCCGCCAAGTGGCGATGTAATAATGAGTAAACCTTGCTATTTGTACTCTCTTGTGACAGTGTATGACTGTGATATCGATTGTTATTTGATAATGTGATGGGATAATCACCTGGACTATCACGTTATATTTTGAATTGTGGATTTCCCTTTGAGGAAATCAGGATCGTTTCACTCACCCACCCTCAGCGCCTCCATTTCCTTCCCCCGTGCGGCGCTTGCGCCTCCCTCTCCCTCTCTATCTCTCCCGCGCGGAGCACGGGAGCCGATGGCGGCCAGCTCTCTCCTCCCGTGCTGCTGGAGGCCGTGAGGAGCATAGGACGGCGGCCTCTCTCCTCCCGCACGCATGGCGGATCCCAACAACTGGAGGAGCACGACGGTGTGGATCTGGTCCGGCAGCTAGAGGAGCACAGGATAAGGGGCCAACACCAGATCCGGCGAGGAGGAACCCGATCTGGCGAGGAGGAGCCTGGATCCGGCGAGAAGGAACCCGGTCCGACAAGGAGGAGCTCGGATCTAGCGAGGACGAAGCCGATTTAGTGAGGAGGAGCCCGGATCCGGCGGGCTCGTGCAGCGGCGGGGCTCGGTGGCGAGGTAGGAAGGCGGCTCCTTCCGACGGGCGGGCCGACGACGCTGGACGGATCCTCCTCCCGGTGGGCGGATCTGGCGAGCTGTAGTGCAAATTCGACAAGCGGAGCAGTGGCACGGGGATGGGCTCGGCAGGCCCTTGGATGGACTCGATGAGCTTGTCCACGGGCTTTTTTGTTTATTTATTTAATTTACCGAGGCGGGCATTTGAACCGCCTCGTTAAAGATCGATTAACTATGACCTATAGTCTGAGGCGGTTTTGATGCCCGGCTCGGTTAACATATTTTGCCTGCCTCCAAAAAAAATTTATGTAGTAGTAATGTCTGGCACTGGTGTTTGGTGAGTTCGTATGGTGTGCTTCAGAAACAGCAAATGTATAGTGGTATATATCTACTTAACCCTATAATATAACTAAATGTATATTGGAAAAATATGGAGTTGCCAAGCAAATTAGAAAAAACAGTAAATATGGAGCAAAAAGCATATAGACCAATAATTGATGAGTTAAACACGGGATATACTAAAATTAGCAAATTCACCGATGATATTCTCCTTTCTGTTCATGCATATTCCTTTGAGGGTATGACATTTCGATCTATTTCCAGAACAATCTCAGTTGACCACTAAAAACTTTGATAGACACAAATATTTGAATTGGCCACATAAATTTTGATTTTGCTGAGGAGTCATCAAAATTTCTTGAACATCACTGCATATTGAATATTTTCCAAACACATCATAAGAAATGCCACTGGGGCCATCGACCTAATATGTTGATTGACCCTTACCTGTTTTCTTGGGGTGATGACCTATCAAAGATAAATTTCTTTATAATTAGTTTTAAAGAAAATATTATTATTCTGAATGTAAAAAAAGAACCTGATGATGTAGAGGAAAAGAGCAGTAAATAATATTAACGATGGCCAAAGGTTCTTTCACCAAGAACTTCATCCATGGATATATCTGAGTGACTTATTATCACACACACGACATATTTTAATTTATTTTTTAATATTGAGCGTACGCTCAGTACAATTACACGGTATTTCACGACCCCAGAGATTATTTAGATAGGTCTAAACCCAGATGATACAAGGTTCTTAAGAACCTGCTGATGCAACATACCGTGTCTATATATAGAAATATCCGTCCTGCATATGCATGGGAATGCAAGCATATATCTCTAACAAGCATATGTCAGTTTGCAAGGATTGTGGGGCATTTTGCAGCAGATATCTCTAGGACGAAAGTCGTGGGCCGCATTCGTCAGCTTCCTTCCGAGATTTATGCCCTTCATAGAACCGGTTCCTTCATTATTGCTTCCATATGAATTTGCCAGCAAGGTGGTTTCTTGTGCCTTTGTTCCAAGAAAACTTGCATGATCAAAGTATCCAATAGTGCACATCATGTTCATCAAAATGAGCAGTGCCACCGTTGTAGGCTTCATCTGCGTATAAGTTAGATGCATGTGTACGTGTTAGGCTTCAATTTCTGATGACACAATAAAAGGGAATTGAATATTGAATTCTACCGAATAAAATAAAACCGATGTGCTAACAGAAATAAAAGGACTCACCGCTGATAGCTGATTAGTTGAGGGCTTGTGTTGTTGATAACTGAAGATACACTTGGGCACGCTATATATAGCCATATTAATAGAAAAGTAGCTGTCTAGGTGAATATGACGCTCATGACATTATGCGACTGGGGTTGGGGAGCTGAAAGCCATTGCATGACAACAGGTCTTGCATTGGCGCATTATGTCGCGCTACTACAGAACCATCCAGTACTGGTGGTTCCAAACCACAACTATTGCAATAATTGGTGTCGGCAGTGGGCAAACGGTGCTGATGACTCCTACTGCTGCTAGGTCATAAAGCAAGTGTCAAAGGCTACCAGTGATGGTTTAAAGGCTGGTTTGAAAAACTACCACACTATGCCACCGATTATAGAGATATATAGGGTCTTTGTAGCATTGGGCATTTTAACCATCACTAGAAAAGCATTTCTAGTGCAATTTCGTTAAGAAATCCACACCTAAAATACATTTTTCACGGGCGTTGCTTTACGGCAACAGCCCTTGAAAGTCCTTTGTTTTTAAAAGTACAAAAGGAGTATTAGTAAAACAAACAATAAACTCAAGACTTTCATCTTAACTTGAGGATTAATAAATATGTAGCAATCAGTAAGACTAATATTTTAAAACCAAAATTTAGATTCATGATGTTATAAGATATTGATTGGAAAAAGAGACACCATAGTTTAAGCTTTTTTTTTAGATAAGGACCATAGTTTAAGATAAGGTATCAACTAAATGTATATTGCAGATACATAGAGATTGACAAGCAAATGGGGAAAACAATAAATTTCGATGAAAAAAATATATAGATAAGTAATTGATAAGTTTATCACAACCCAACATGGACTAAAGAATATCCATTATGCCTACTGTTTCAGAAAATAAACAAAAAGGAAATAATGTACAATTGATATAATTAAATTTTATTGGTCAAAGATACTAAACAATAACTAATACTTCTGTCTTCTAAGATTCTCGCCCATGCTCTCGCATGGGCTGTTGAACTAGTTTTATAAACTAAATTGGATGTCCTGATTTGTATTTTTACTACCCAACGGGCTTTAGTTCTTTTCGTTCGCATGATATGGTAGGGCACATACATCTAAACACAAAAATGGAGCAACCAGTAAATCATACCCTAAAAATAACCGAAAATGTGCTGAACCAAATTGTATATCATGAAACTGTAAGTGATTAGTGATTACTCTCTCTTTTGAGAAAGAAACATGGGACTTCATTAATGAGGGATAAACTAAAATTAGCAAACTCATAGATGTTATTCTCCTTTCTGTGTATGCATGTTCCTTTGAGGGTATGGCATTTCACCCTATTTCCAGAACTTTGCCTGTTAGGGGGCCGGGTCGATCCCTTCAGATCTACGGTCCACTCCTAAATTTGGACTCCGGTTATGTAACACCCCAGCTCCGTATAGTAGTTGTGTTGTTGGCCCATGTGACACATGAGGAGCTGTAGTTGGTGGATTTAGTACCACATTAGAAGTTTTGGAGCATGATGGCCAACTTATAAGCCTTGTTGCTTCAAAATGTAGCACATTCAGGTTAACCATTTTACATGAAGCAAAGACGAAAGTGTTAGAGAGATGCTAAGCATCTGCGGACCCATTCCACGTGCGGAGCTGAGCCATACAACCAGATTTTACAAATGTGGTGTTACAGAGGTACTACACGTATGCAGGCCTATTCCATATTTGGTGCTGGACCATATAAGTAGATTCGTATGCAGGCATGTTCCACATGTGGAGCTAGGCCATATAAGTAGATTTTGGATGCGGGGTGTTACAGGATCGGAGCGGTTTGACCCTAACACGAACAAAGGATGAGAAACCTGTTGAAATGGAACCTAGGTCGCCCCCTTTAGTTCACAGCCAGCCTCGTGGACTCCCGTGGTTGACGACTCGGCGTAGCACTCCTCCACACTACATATCAAGCATCCAATTTCTCTCCTATTGATACTGCCTCCTCTCCTACTGATACTGCCTCATCAACCGACAGATCGAGCGGTGTAGCACTCCTCCCCACTACATATCGAGCATCCAATTTCTCTCCTACTGATACTGCCTCCTCTCCTACTGATACTGCCTCGTCGACCGACAGATCGAGCTATTGAGATTACGTCGACCAAGGTTCTTGACCAGGCGACCAAGTATCTCACCTAAATCCTGATGAAGTATCTCACCCTAGCATGGAGTCTGACGGAAAGGATGCAGCAGCCGCCAATGGTGACCTGTTCAGTAGTAGATTTACATGGTGCTCTCATAGTCTCCTAGATTGATCTCATGGTTTGTCAATTTTTGTATATGATGTTGTCCTGTTCAGTACTAGTAGATTTACACTAGCTTCTTACTGAATCAATGACTGTCGTTCTGTGGTCTTTGAATGAACCATACGTATGGCTCCTTTATGTCTTCTGCCTATGATGGGGATTAAGTTTAATTATGTTCAAATTAGTTACAAACGGTGTAATAGCTTTGCTTGTTGCATCAACTACAGAAGCTAATTGACGCACTGAGGCTGAAAGGTCTCATCAGAAGCTAATGTCAGAAGTTAGCACCATGCATACAATTCGCTCCGATCCCTTGCAAACTCTATTATGTGCATGTGGTTTGAACCTCGGTGCACCGTGGGTATTTAACTAGAGAAATAAAGACTCGGGTCGAACCGGAAACCTTATTTTGCCTCAATGGAGCGGGTGGGTCGAGAAAACGCTCGCTCCGATCCAGCCACTTTGCAGGTGTATCCAGAACAATCTCAGTTGAGCACTAAAAACTTTCCATGCTTAGATACACACAAATATTTAAATTGGCCACATAAATTTTGATTTAGTTGACGAGTCATCAAAATTTCTTGAACATCGTCACTGCATATTGAATATTTTCCTAAAGACATCATAAGAAATACCACTGGGGCCATTGATCTATTATGTTGATTGACCCTTACCTGTTTTCTTGGGGTGATGACCAATCAAAGACAAATTTCTTTCTTATTTTAAAGAAAATATTATTATTCTTCTGAATGTAAAAAAAAGAACGTGATGATGCAGAGGCAAAGAGAAGTAAATAATACTATTAACGATGGCCAAAGGTTCTTTCACCAATTAAAGAACTTCATCCATGGATTTATCTGAGTGACATATTATAACACACAGGAAATATTTTTATTTATTGTTTAATATTGAGCGTACGCTCAGTACAATTACATGGCATTTCACCATCCCAGAGATTATTTAGATAGGTCTAAACCTAGATGATACAAGGGACTTAAGAACCTGGTGACGCAACCTACCATGTCTGTATATAGGATATCCATCCTCCATATGCATGGGAATGCAAGCATATATCTCTAACAATCATATTTTATTTTGCAAGGATTGGAGGACATTTTGCAGCAGATATCTCTATTATCCCAGGTGTGGGCCGTCATCGTCAGCTTCCTTCCAAGGTTTATGCCCTTCATAAAACCGGTTCCTTCATTGTTTCCATATGAATTTGCCAGCAAGGTGGTTTCTTGGGCCTTTGTTCCGAGAAAACTTGCATGATCAAAGTAGCCAATAGTGCACATCATGTTCATCAAAATGAGCAGTGACACTGTTGTAGGCTTCATCTACTCATATGTTAGATGCATGTGTACGTGTTAGGATTCAATTTCTGATAACACAATAAAAGGGAATTGTATATTAAATCGTACTGAACAAAATAAAACCAATGAGCTCATAGAAAGAAAAGGACTCACCCCTGATAGCTGATTAGTTGAGGGCTTGTGTTGTTGATAACCAAAGATACACTTGAGCAAGCTATATATAGCCATTTGAATAGAAAAGTTGCTGTCTAGATGAATATGACGCTCATGATATTATGCAACTGGGGTTGCGGAGCTGCAAGCCATTACTTGATAATAGGTCTTGGCGCATTATGTTGCAGTAGTACAGAACCATTCAGTACTTGTGGTTCCAGATCACTACTATTGCAAGAATTGGTGTCGGCAGTGGGCAAACGGGACTAATGGCTCCTCCTATTGCTGCTAGGTCTTAAAGCAACAGTGTAAAGCCCACCACTGTCTGAGGTACCAACCGGCAATAAGAACCCTTATCAAAAGTAAGACATGATTTTGTGAACTATCAAAAACGATTTTAAAGGCTGGTTTAACAGAAGTGCCTGTTTAACTATCAAAATGATTTCTTGAATATCCTTTTGGTCAACTGCAGCGGACGACGAAAATGTACGATGCTATAAGAAACAGAAGGAAAAAATTAGATTCAAATTAATGAACATATGCATATGATATGGTTGGACCGATCGACTTACTTCTTCAAGGTTATTGTAGTACCCCCCATTGGTTCTAAACTATTGACATACAAAGTATCCACAGAGCCCGCTTCCAGGAGGTTGCTTCGTACACTTCAAGTAGGTGACATGCAAAAAAAAAAGGTATAATGAAGTGCATTGTTTTATCTAATCAATATGATCACTATTTGGGGGTAGAAATGGTCGTACCCATGGATATAGAACCATGATCATCTTCTTTGGCCTATCTTCGTTATACACTCGTCCTTTTTAATGTAATATATATATCTGTAGGCAACAGGCACTATATAATAAAACGGTGTCAAAAAGGCTCCGACTATGATGTATAGGGGCCTTGGAGGAGACTATATAAACAAGAGTGTGGAAGCCATACACATCAACTAAGCTAATACAAATGTCTCATCATCCAGGGCTTGAATATGGCAAGGATCGGATGGCGGAGGCGAGCTCTCAAAGGACTAGGCTTTTACGGTTCTATTTAACCAAATTCTTGTATAATGCAAGAATTGAAAAGTCAAGTAGAGTTGTGAAATCACTTTTACCCTTT